TCAGCTCGGGTACTAGTCTGGTGGCAAACCTTTGAACCTTTTCCAGTTTAGTCTTATGCTTGACTAGATATGGACTCCATGCTGGAGCCGCATACTCCAGGATTGGTCTGACATATGTGGTATATAATGTTCTGAAAGATTCCTTACACAAGTTTCTAAAGGCCGTTCTTATGTTAGCCAACCTGGCATATGCTGCTGATGTTATCCTCTTGATATGAGCTTCAGGGGACAGGTCTGACGTGATATCAACCCCCAGGTCTTTCTCTCTCTCGGACTCTTGAAGTATTTCATCTCCCAAGTGATACCTTGTATCTGATCTCCTGCTTCCTACTCCTATCTTCATTACATTACAATTGCTTGGGTTAAACTCTAACATCCATTTGTTCGACCATTCCTGCAGCTTGTCCAGGCCTTCTTGAAGCCTCAAGCTGTCCTCCTCTGTCTTAATCCTTCTCATAATTTTGGCGTCGTCAGCAAACATTGAGAGGAATGAGTCTATACCATCTGGGAGATCATTTACGTATATCAGAAACAGGATAGGTCCAAGCACAGAGCCCTGTGGGACTCCACTGGTGACTTCCCGCCATTCTGAGGTCTCACCCCTCACTATAACTCTCTGCATCCTATTGCTTAGGTACTCCCTTATCCACTGGAGCGCCCTACCAGTTACTCCTGCCTGTTTCTCCTGCTTATGCATCAACCTTTTATGGGGTACTGTGTCAAAGGCTTTCCGACAGTCCAAAAAAATGCAGTCCGCCCATCCTTCTCTTTCTTGCTTAATCTTTGTCACCTGATCGTAGAATTCTATCAAGCCTGTAAGGCAAGATTTACCCTCCCTGAACCCATGTTGATGGGTTGTCACGAAGTCTCTTCTCTCCAGATGTGTTACTAGGTTTTTTCTCACAATCTTCTCCATCACCTTGCATGGTAAACAAGTTAAGGACACTGGCCTGTAGTTCAGTGCCTCTTGTCTGTCACCCTTTTTAAATATTGGTACTACATTAGCAGTCTTCCATACTTCTGGTAGGTCTCCCGTTTCCAGTGACCTACTATACACTATGGAGAGTGGCAAGCTAAGTGCTCCTGCACACTCTTTCAATACCCATGGTGAGATTCCATCCGGCCCAACAGCTTTTCTCACATCCAGCTCCAATAGGTGCTTCTTGACCTCATCTCTTGTAATTTCGAACCTTTCCAAGGTCACCTGGTTTGCTGCCACCTCTCCTAGCGCCGTGACTTCTCCCTGTTCTATTGTAAAGACCTCCTGGAACTTTTTGTTGAGTTCTTCACACACCTCTTTGTCATTCTCTGTGTACCTGTCCTCGCCCACCCTAAGTTTCATCACCTGTTCCTTCACTGTTGACTTCCTCCTGATGTGTGGCTCACCATAGATGTAAAGTGCCTTTAAGATCACTCAGTGGTCGAGCAAACACACGAAGTGGTAATCTCTGCCACGAGCATGTCATAAATCTTGCCTCACGGGTCGTCGTCTTACCCCAAACGACGAATGTTATAGGACATAAGACGCTATAAGTCTTACAACAAACTTGCTTGACGCAGGCAGTGATGCAGCGCTATCCAGGTCTGTAACCACGACTGACTTGAGTGAAGCAATGTTGTTTTACTAGAGTTGTAATTGGGAAAATATTAATTGAAAGTGTATGAAACAAAATAACAGGATAGTCCAGAAACTCTATTACACACGGTTCCTTTACGTTAACATAAGTATCACTGCCAACAGAAGCTAACCAAACAGGGAACTTGTCTTCCGCCACTTCCGATAACAAGTGCTAACTTAGCACTGGTAATTACTCTCTTGGCAAAATCAAAGGGTGTTTTAAGTGTACCGCTGTACACTTAAACAATACTTTGTCACAACAATGCAAGCAATGCACACTTATGTTTCTGAAAGTGAAATACCATCAAAGCACTCAACATAGATATATACAAAATCACTGAAAAAGAAAGATGAAGCATGTTGCTTCATCTGTCTACCCTGAGGTAGCTGAACCATGATGCTTCATCTGTCTACCCTGAGGCAGGTGAAGCAGACAACTTACCTTGGTTAACAGACTTGAGTTCGTTCCAGACACTGACGAAGTCTCAGTCTGCCGTTTCTTAGGAATCAGTCACGAGGTAACTAATGATGACATGATTGTTAACACTTACGACCGGCCTCACCCCTCGACACATCAACACCTCATTAACCAGGTCATCACCTTCCCTCCCAATTCGTCGATTCAGTTGAAGGCGATGAATGGTCTTCTGTCGGCAATGATTTTACCTCGCAATTAGCCTCACGTGACACCATGTGCGGTCATGTCCCGGGTAATGACGCCAAGTCCCGGAGTAATGACGAAAAGTCCCGGAGTAATGACGCCAAGTACCGGGGTAATGACGCCAAGTCCCGGGGTAATGACGCCAAGTACCGGGGTAATGACGCCAAGTCCCGGGGTAATGACGAAAAGTCCCGGAGTAATGACGCCAAGTACCGGGGTAATGACGCCAAGTCCCGGGGTAATGACGCCAAGTCCCGGGGTAATGACGCCAAGTCCCGGGGTAATGACGAAAAGTCCCGGAGTAATGATGCCAAGTCCCGGAGTAATGACGCCAAGTCCCGGGGTAATGACGAAAAGTCCCAGAGTAATGACGCCAAGTCCCGGGTAATGACGAAAAGTCCCGGAGTAATGACGCCAAGTCCCGGGTAATGACGAAAAGTCCCGGGGTAATGACGCCAAGTCCCGGGTAATGACGCACTCGGTATCTTGATTTATCAAATAGGTCCCTTAAAAGTGTCATTAGATGAGAACTCCTGGATGGATTTGAAGAAAGTAGAACAGTGCAAACTGGAACTAGCAGGTCCATTGTTCATCACAATGAAATGTGTGAAGTAAAACATGTGTATGGGGCAAGTAACAAAGTCAGTAGACTAACAGATGTTGTCACAGCTCGTATAAGACTTGGCTACAAGTATCTCTGACAGTTGGGCTTGTATAGGGATCTAGATGAAGTAAAGTGTAAAGTGTGTGGACAAAGACAGGGACACACACTCGAACACTATATCTTGGACTTAAGTAATATTGAACCATTTTAGAGATAAATGTAAACTCACGCTGTATGATATGGCAACCTATCTTATTACTAAGGATAAAATACCTGAAATCCTTGCAGCGGATCCATATTTCGCTTCCAGTAGATGAACGACATATGAGACTCAGAAACAAGTAGTGTATTGTGAGGACTAATAATAAACAGAAGCTCCCCTATGTCTCTGTAATATCTCCATTGGTCAAACTATTATGTATTAGCAATAAGACCTACCATTAATGTATAATGACTTACTGTAAATATATAGCTCTTGAAATAGCACTTTCTCTGTAACTAGCTGACATTGTAACTGTAAGGTGTGAAGGATAGATGAAATTGTTTATGTAATAATCTTCGTTGAGGTCTGATAAAGACCTTTTGTGCCCTCTGTAATGCTTTTTGCGCTACCGCTCACAGGATGAGTATGGGGTGCACAATAAACTAGCCGCCTTCGGCGGCAACAATAAAAAAATCAAATCTTAATGCAGACAGGAACAGGTGCGCAGGTTCAACTGTAGTCACGTGGCACGTGCAGCACTTCACGTACTGATCAGTCGATGTTCTTAAAATATATATATATATATATAACTGAAAACTCACACCCCAGAAGTGACTCGAACCCATACTCCCACAACTGGTATGTACAGGGACGCCTTAATCCGCTTGACCATCACGACCGGACATAAGGAAGTGATAGCCGAGGCTATATGAACCACTTCCCCGCCGGCACTCGGATGGTAATCTTGGGCATAGCATTTTATCAAATCACCTCATTCTTTGGGGCACACGTGAGGAACACAAATGCAAACAAGCCTGAATGGTCCCCAGGACTATATACAACTGAAAACTCACACCCCAGAAGTGACTCGAACCCATACTCCCACAACTGGTATGTACAGGGACGCCTTACTTCGGGGGTGTGAGTTTTCAGTTGTATATAGTCCTGGGGACCATTCAGGCTTGTTTGCATTTGTGTTCCTCACGTGTGCCCCAAAGAATGAGGTGATTTGATAAAATGCTATGCCCAAGATTACCATCCGAGTGCCGGCGGGGAAGTGGTTCATATAGCCTCGGCTATCACTTCCTTATGTCCGGTCGTGATGGTCAAGCGGATTAAGGCGTCCCTGTACATACCAGTTGTGGGAGTATGGGTTCGAGTCACTTCTGGGGTGTGAGTTTTCAGTTGTATATAGTCCTGGGGACCATTCAGGCTTGTTTGCATATATATATATATATATATATATATATATATATATATATATATATATATATATATATATATATATATATATATATATATGTCGTACCTAGTAGCCAGAACTCACTTCTCAGCCTACTATGCAAGGCCCGATTTGCCTAATGAACTTGTCTCCCGCCACTTCCGATAACAAGTGCTAACTTAGCACTGGTAATTACTCTCTTGGCAAAATCAAAGGGTGTTTTAAGTGTTCCGCTGTACACTTAAACAATACTTTGTCACAACAATGCAAGCAATGCACACTTATGTTTCTGAAAGTGAAATACCATCAAAGCACTCAACATAGATATATACAAAATCACTGAAAAAGAAAGATGAAGCCTGTTGCTTCATCTGTCTATCCTGAGGTAGCTGAACCATGATGCTTCATCTGTCTACCCTGAGGCAGGTGAAGCAGACAACTTACCTTGGTTAACAGACTTGAGTTCGTTCCAGACACTGACGAAGTCTCAGTCTGCCGTTTCTTAGGAATCAGTCACGAGGTAACTAATGATGACATGATCGTTAACACTTACGACCGGCCTCACCCCTCGACACATCAACACCTCATTAACCAGGTCATCACCTTCCCTCCCAATTCGTCGATTCAGTTGAAGGCGATGAATGGTCTTCTGTCGGCAATGATTTTACCTCGCAATTAGCCTCACGTGACACCATGTGCGGTCATGTCCCGGGTAATGACGCCAAGTCCCGGAGTAATAACGAAAAGTCCCGGAGTAATGACGCCAAGTACCGGGGTAATGACGCCAAGTCCCGGAGTAATGACGCCAAGTCCCGGGGTAATGACGAAAAGTCCCGGAGTAATGACGCCAAGTCCCGGAGTAATGACGAAAAGTCCCGGAGTAATGACGCCAAGTCCCGGGGTAATGACGCCAAGTACCGGGGTAATGACGCCAAGTCCCGGGGTAATGACGCCAAGTCCCGGGGTAATGACGAAAAGTCCCGGAGTAATGACGCCAAGTCCCGGAGTAATGACGCCAAGTCCCGGGGTAATGACGAAAAGTCCCGGAGTAATGACGCCAAGTCCCGGGTAATGACGAAAAGTCCCGGGGTAATGACGCCAAGTCCCGGGTAATGACGCACTCGGTATCTTGATTTATCAAATAGGTCCCTTAAAAGTGTCATTAGATGAGAACTCCTGGATGGATTTGAAGAAAGTAGAACAGTGCAAACTGGAACTAGCAGGTCCATTGTTCATCACAATGAAATGTGTGAAGTAAAACATGTGTATGGGGCAAGTAACAAAGTCAGTAGACTAACAGATGTTGTCACAGCTCGTATAAGACTTGGCTACAAGTATCTCTGGCAGTTCGGCTTGTATAGGGATCTAGATGAAGTAAAGTGTAAAGTGTGTGGACAAAGACAGGGACACACACTCGAACACTATATCTTGGACTTGAGTAAAATTGAACCATTTTAGAGATAAATGTAAACTCACGCTGTATGATATGGCAACCTATCTTATTACTAAGGATAAAATACCTGAAATCCTTGCAGCGGATCCATATTTCGCTTCCAGTAGATAAGCGACATATGAGATTAAGAAACAAGTAGTGTATTGTGAGGACTAATAATAAACAGAAGCTCCCCTATGACTCTGTAATATCCCCATTGGTCAAACTATTATGTATTAGCAATAAGACCTACCATTAATGTATAATGACTTACTGTAAATATATAGCTCTTGAAATAGCACTTTCTCTGTAACTAGCTGACATTGTAACTGTAAGGTGTGAAGGATAGATGAAATTGTTTATGTAATAATCTTCGTTGAGGTCTGATAAAGACCTTTTGTGCCCTCTGTAATGCTTTTTGCGCTACCGCTCACAGGATGAGTATGGGGTGCACAATAAACTAGCCGCCTTCGGCGGCAACAATAAAAAAATCAAATCTTAATGCAGACAGGAACAGGTGCGCAGGTTCAACTGTAGTCACGTGGCACGTGCAGCACTTCACGTACTGATCAGTCGATGTTCTTAAAATATATATATATATATATATATATGTCGTACCTAATAGCCAGAACGCACTTGTCAGCCTACTATGCAAGGCCCGATTTGCCTAATAAGCCAAGTTTTCCTGAATTAATATATTTTCTCTAATTTTTTTCTTATGAAATGATAAAGCTACCCATTTCATTAAGTATGAAGTCAATTTTTTTTTATTGGAGTTAAAATTAACGTAGATATATGACCGAACCTAACCAACCCTACCTAACCTAACCTAACCAATCTTTATAGGTTAGGTTAGGTTAGGTAGCCAAAAAAGTTAGGTTAGGTTAGGTTAGGTAGGTTAGGTAGTCGAAAAACAATTAATTCATGAAAACGTGGCTTATTAGGCAAATTGGGCCTTGCATAGTAGGCTAAGAAGTGCATTCTAGCTATTAGGTACGACATATATATATATATATATATATATATATATATATATATATATATATATATATATATATGTCGTACCTAGTAGCCAGAACTCACTTCTATGCCTACTATGCAAGGCCCGATTTGCCTAATAAGCCAAGTTTTCATGAATTAATATAATGTTTTTCGACTACCTAACCTACCTAACCTAACCTAACCTAACTTTTTCAGCTACCTATCCTAACCTAACCTATATTTATAGGTTAGGTTAGGTTAGGTAGGGTTGGTTAGGTTCGGTCATATATTTACGTTAATTTTAACTCCAATAAGAAAAAATTGACCTCATACATAATGAAATGGGTAGCTTTATCATTTCATAAGAAAAATATTAGAGAAAATTAATTCAGGAAAACTTGGCTTATTAGGCAAATATGGCCTTGCATAGTAGGCCGAGAAGTGCGTTCTGGCTACTAGGTACGACATATATATATATATATATATATATATATATATATATATATATATATATATATATGTTGTATCTAGTAGCCAGAACGTCGTACTCAGCCTACTATGCAAGGCCCGATTTGCCTAATAAGCCAAGTTTTCCTGAATTTATATATTTTTCAATATTTTTTCCTTAAGAAATGATTAAGCTATCCATTTATTTATGTATGAGTTAATTGTTTTTAAATTTGAGTTAAAACTAACTTAGATATATGACTGAACCTAACCAACCCTACCTAACCTAACCTATCCCAACCTAACCTAAACTAACACAATTAAGTCAATAATTTATGTTCTTAATATAATATAATAAACATAATTCAAATAAACTAATTGGAATCAATTTATTGAAAATAAAGAAAATCACTTGGCCTATTAGGCAATTCGGGCCTTGCCTAGTAGGCCGAGAAGTGCGTTCTGGCTACTAGGTAAGACATATATATATATATATCTTTATATATATATATATATATATATATATATATATATATATATATATATATATATATATATATATATAACATTAACAATAGTGTAACTAGCTTCACAAGATTGTCACATGCTTAGCTAAACGAGCTATGGGGTTCAGTTCCTGAACCCATTATGGGCCTCTGTAACCCTTTACACCACCGCCCACGGGATGGGTATGGGGTATCTTAAGATGAGTCGGGGCTTAGCATCCCCGCAGCCCGGTTCTTGAATATGCCTACTTTTTGTTACACATCCCCAGGAAGCAGCCCGAAGCAGCTATCTAACCCCAGATACCTATTTACTGCTAGGTAACAGGGGCATTAGGTTGAAAGGAACTCTACCCATTTGTTTCCGCCTGCACCGGGGATCGAACCCGGAACCTCAGGACTACGAATCCGAAGCGCTTTCCACTCAGCTGTCAGGCCCTTTAGGGGTTGGGGGTGCATAATAAAGAAAGCAATTGAATTGAATTGGCCAGGGGAAGGTAAGGTCTGCTTGGTGGTTGGTAACGCCTGCCAGGAATATCCCTGCAAAAAAAACTTCCAATAAGATTGTATATTTCGTTGTTTGGAGTTCAATTGCCAGGAATTTCATTTATTTTTGAGTTAAATATATGTATTAATTTAATTTAATTTAAGTTCAATTTCAGTTATTCTGAAAGATTATCTAGAATCTTATGTGGCGGGGAAGTGGGAGCGGGTTGCCCCCCGCGCGCCGTCCTCGTCTTCCCTCCTTTTCTTTATTTTTTTCCCCCGGCTTCATGTTCCCATCTCCCCCTCCCGCTGGCCCGTCCCTGCGGGACACGCTCCCATCTCCCCTCCTCCCCGCTCCGGCTACATGCTACAAGTCACCCTCCTCCCCGCCCCCGGCTACGTGCTCCAGGTCCCCCACCTCCCCGCTCCGGCTACATGCTCCTGGTCCCCCCACTTCCCCTCCCCGGCTACGTGTCCCAGGTCCCCCACCTCCCCGCCGCGGCTACATGCTCCTGGTCCCCCCACTTTCCCTCCCCGGCTACCTGTCCCAGGTCCCCCACCTCCCCTCCGCAGCTACATGCTCCAGGTCCCCCACCTCCCCTCCGCAGCTACATGCTTCAGGTCCCCCACCTCCCCTCCGCAGCTACATGCTCCAGGTCCCCCACCTCCCCGCCCCGGCTACGTGTCCCAGGTCCCCCTCCTCCCCGTCCCGGCTACAGGCACCCACCCCATCCTCCCAGGAACCAGACACGCAGACATTAATGTTAGCGTTTCTAGTTGTAATACTATTTTGCAGCTTGTGTGCCAAGTCATTGCAACTGTCTTTAGCATATTTAACGAAATTGCTTGTTTGGGAATATTTATATCTTTCAATGGCGCTGTAATGAAAAGAAAAATATGTTTTGCCAAAATCGCATTGACGATCGATGTAGGCGTTATTATTTTTCACAGTTGGCGGGGAGGGAGCGAACCTGTCGGCGGTCACACAGGAAGAAGGTGAAGTTATAACCAAGTTATTCTTGAGTTTTTAAGAAAAGGGTGTCTGAATGGTGTTCTTTTGAAGTATATAAGAGGACCAGCAGCCATCACCCTTCGTCTGTCCCCAGCCATACTCACTCAGCCTTGTTCATGAAACCTGCCACCACCACCACACGGCTCCTACCCCGGCTCCCCCACACGGCTCCTACCCTCCCGGCTCCTACCCTCCCAGCTCCCCCTCCCGGCTCCCCTTACATGCTGCCCCTCCCTGCTCCCCCCCCCTCTCTCTCCTCCTTGAACACCGCCACACACACTCCCACCCACCACTCACCGTAACCACAAGACCACGAGTGCAAGTGTTCAAGATTAGAAAGCGACGAAGGTTTGAGAAGACAGACATGACAAATACCAATGGTTCTCTGACCATTGTAAGAATAATTGTGAAAGGCGCAGACAATAAATAGTGATGTGTTACGTACCCCTTCTCCCCCTTCATATGCCCCCTCTCTCCTTACATATGCCCCCCTCTCCCCCAACATATGCCCCCTTTCTGCCCCAACATTTGATCCCTCTCACCCCCCCCCCGAAATTTGCTTCCCCTCTTCCCCAACATATGCCCCCTTTCCCCCAGTATATGCCCCCTCTCTGCCCAACATTTGCTCTCTCCCCCCCCGACATATGCTTCCCCTCTCCCCCCAATATATGGCCACCTCTTCCCCGACATATGGTCACCTCTCCCCCAACATATGCCCACCTCTCCGTAACATATGCCCCTCTCCCCAACATATGCCTCTCCCCAACGTATGCCCCCTCTCCCCAACATATGTCCCACCACTCCCCCAACATATGCGCCCCTTCCCCCATACCATATGCCCCCCTCCTCTTCCCTAACAGAACAGGAGACCCAGGAAGGAGCACATGGCTGATCCGCGCCAGCCATTTCCTGGTGGTTGGAGCCCTTAACGGGGAAGGTTGACTGCGCACTGACTCTTAACTGTCTTCCACTGTTCACCAAACAGGAAGCATCTGTTCCTGTACACACCTGTTCAAAAAACTCAGTAATGTTCTAATAGGCTGGTGAACGGCGTACACTGACATAGGCTTGCAACATGCAACACTTGAAACACCATTAAGGGGATAATATAAGATGCCCCATCCATTGAGTGGATAATATAAGATGCCCCAGTGGGAGCGACGATCGCTATGTGCGCTATTTTTAGTATCTAATATATTGAAAATTCGAAACACGGAGCCAAAATGTATTAAGGAAACCACAGGAATACCAC